TATTTTATATTTTAATCCTAATATAAAACATTTTTAAATAGTTAGTATTTATTTATAATTTATTTTTAAATTTATGCAGATGTGTAAAATAAGCTTACATCTGTTTATGTTATCCTACTCTAACACTGTTTTTCATCCAAATGAGCATGGTAAATTAATTGACTTAAATACTTATTCATTCACTACTAAGTATTGGAAGCATATTATTTTTATATAATTTATTTTAAAAAGATTAGGCTTAATATAAATTCAGTCATAAATATTCTCATTTGTGTTAACATTTTCTAAGCAGTCATTTCTCATAAATATAAAGATATTTATGAGAATTTATTTTTAAAATTCTCGACGACTATATTCAGCAAATTATTCATAAATTGTTTTTACTGTTTAATATATCTTTTTAAACATGTTGTAAATTATCATAAACTAAAACTTTTGAAAATTCAAATCACAAATAAAGTGATAATTCAGTTATGGCTTGTTTTCGTTGAAATTCGGTAATAATTCATAAGTTTGGGTTAAGATTTAAAAATAGATTTGAAATTTGTTTAAAGGTTTCGATGAAAGAATGTGTTACAATATTTCATAACTTAAATCAATCTAATGTTATTTACACTTTTATCATAGCAAATAGTACCCATTCAAGTCAAACAATACATTGAATGCATACAATAAAGTTTTTGATCTTTTTATACCAATCCTATAATGTATGTAATGTATAAAATCTAAATCTTAAAAGCATTTGAAAAGGATTTCAAAATCAGATCAAGTACTGGATTGCATACTAAGCTTACTGTATATAAGTAAAGATAAATATATTTATACAAATAGCTACAAAATACAACACATTTTAAGTTTTATAGAAATAGTGTATAAATGTTACAGTGAAGATTTGTACGACTAAAATATCAATTACAGGTTTGAAAGTTTTTATAGCAAAACAAATTATCGTTCAAATATACAGTGGTGTATATTATTGATTGTACAAAATATTGTCGTAGCGATAGATACCAAACATGATCTTAGTTTAGGTAATGCACCGAAAGGATAGCATCTGTAGGTAAGAACACCTGGAGTTTCATCTAATAAATGGATTAGAGCGGACAGTCGTGCATCAAAGCATTACATTAATTATATGCTATACATTAGAGCCGTCAGGTTATTGTAGTTGTCGGCCAAAAGCTAACATATGGAGACTATGGAGGCAGAGGATTATTTGCTAGTACAGTACTTTCTATTAAATAACACTACTGTATACTATACTGTATAGTATACTGTATACTATACGATTATTTGGCGGTAATATTAGCGATGATCGAAACGATTAAAAGGTGCAATTAACTCAACCTAAATGGCTGTAGCCATGGAAGGCCTGACCCATTCATGTGTGACATTAAAAGCAGATTATTAAATGCAGATATTATTCATCCACTGATGCACCTGAGCTCCCGGTGCCTTCTAAACAGATAATAGAGCACCGGCAAAGTGAACACTTAGTGCCATACAAGTCATACAAATACAAGTGAAACAATCTGCTCCTCACTAATCAACCATTCATTAGACCGATCGGTGACCACAAAACTTATCAAATATTACAATACTATCAAAGCATGCAATTTATTTGCTATTATATAATAACAATTGCATATAGAGTACAGTACACTCTACTGAATGCTACGGTTTATGCAAAACACGTTCAAATAATTATTACTCATTAATGCAATTCTTCCGTAATATATTTTATAATAGATTATATTATTTGTATAAATTATAGATATTATAGATGTGTCATCACATCAGATGATATTGATAACATCCAAATTGATACCATCTTTTCAATTGACATTAAATTAACATTTGAATGAATGTCTCGAATAACTCAATCATAAACAAACTTCAAACCTGTTTCATATTATCTGTCATATGTTAAATGAATAAAATAAACAACTATCAATATCAAATTTAAATATCGTAGAAAATTTATTTAATGAAAGCTTAATAATTTTTTGTTAAATATCATAATTCATTTGAATTATTACTATTTAAATGAGCTGATAGTTTTGATACAAATGTTAGAATAGTTTATTTATTTAAACAAAAGATCTTGTATTTGAGTAAAACATTTAGTGTTACAAAAAAAAGTAAATATAAAAATATCTTTGAGTAAGTCTTAAATAACTAAACGCCGGTTCTCTGGAAGTTTGCCATAGAGTTGACGAAAAGTTTTAAATTTAGATCAGAGAGAGTGTGTAAGCATTCACAGCAATCAGGCCTCACATCCAACACATCGCCCAAAATACCGGTCCCTTCAGTCTGGCTCTCAATTTAGAGCACAAATGAAGTGAAGTCTAAAAAATTAGTCGTAATATTAACTTATTATTAACTGTTAAGCAATACAACACTTACTGCGCTAAAGAACAGCCAAAATAATAATCAAAAAGTGAGTACAAGTTTTGTAATTATTTTCAGTCGACAGAGAAATTCTTGTTCACCAAATTCATAATAAAGAGTTATTTTAGCAATTTTTCCTAAAGTACACACAAGAAAAAGTAATTTGATTTTTTTCGTAATCAAAACTTTAGTAAAATTTTGTTATTAAATTTTAAGTAATTTGTGATTTATTAATATATTGAAAGGTATTTGTCCACATTTTAATGTATATGGTATTAATTGGTTGATAATATTTGTAGTAAATTGTTAAATACATGTGAATATAACTCAAACAAGAAATTAGATAAATAAATAAAATTTTCAAATCACGGTTGCCGGGGATCTCATAAAATGCGAGTTATCCGTGATTGTGTTGAGTGAACGCAATATCAATCTTTTTAACTAATTTTAATTAGAGTTTTGTTGTACTCATTAATTAATCACTTCATATGGTATTGTATGATAGAGAGGATGCCAGCCGTCTCTCCGACACTGTTGGCTGTACTCACTATAGGAGTGGTGGCACTCATTCTGGGGATTCTCATCGGTAAGGAGATTAACACATAAACTCATAGCCAATACATCACAGTGTGATAAATGTGCTGAAGAAAAACAGCTAAATATGTAAAATATTTATATTATTAATGAATTTGTTTATTATAAATGGTAAAAATTTTGCTTATTTTTCAATAATATTCAATAATGTTTCCTCTAAAGCACTCATTCCTATGCAATGAATAGCAATTGAGAGAAAAAATCATTTATTAACACATTTTGACTTTAAAAACGTTAAACAAATTATTTGATATACAGATAAACAGTAGATAGTATTCCTGACACAACTGTCTGTTTATAATTTTAGATGTAATTTCTGATAAAACTCTTAATATTATAAATGTTTTTAAAATGTAAATCAAAAGTGAAGGCAGGGATGGGGTCTTACTTTTATGCATCTCTTATATCTTATATTTATATGACATTTAAAAAGTTTGAAAATATTGATTATTTTGCTAACTTTGTTGCAAACCTTAGGCTCGTATACGCTTCCACCCATATCTGAAGAAAACAAAATTAAATTAAATGTTTTAAAAGAGTTTACGCAAAACCGATACTCCGGTCGCGACGACCCCATCATTAGTCGTATTAATGAAGGCGTTAGCACTGAAAGGCTGAGAGAGAACTTGAAGTGAGATATCTGTCGGATATTTAATTAGCTTTATATCCGCCTCATTTGCTTAACAATTATCGATACATTGGTTTGTGTTTATCGTAGATTCTTATCATCAGAACCACATTTAGTGGGAAGCAATCGCGACAAGGAATTAGCCGATTATATTAGAGATCGCTTTGTGGAGTACGGTCTCGATCGGGCATATCTGGTGCCGTATAATGTATTGCTTTCCTACTCTAATACCTCACATCCAAACAAAGTATCCATTTTTGATGCAAGAAGCGGAAGGGTATTATTTGAGTCAAAACACAGGGAAGAAAACGAGACGATATTTCCCAACATTGTTGACTCCTATAATAGCTTTGCTCCCAAAGCAGATGTCATCGGAGAACCAGTATTTTGTAATTATGGCCGACAAACAGATTTTGATTTATTGCAGAATTACGCCAAAATCGATCTCAAAGGGAAGATCTGTATTGTGAGATATGGAAAGATATTCAGAGGAAATAAAGTTTAGTTTTATATTCTTTAATTGGTTTAATATAGAAATTAACTAACTCTCTAGTATTAAGTGAGATAGTAAATAAGATATAATGTAGTCTGTGATAAAATTGTTAATTAAGTGTTTGTATGAAATATATGCTACCAGTGCGAAAACGCAGCCCAGAGGGGATGTGTTGCAGTGATTCTGTATTCAGATCCTCTTGAGATAGCAAGAGAGGGCACACAACAAGAAAATGTTTATCCCAATAGTTGGTGGATGAATGGGAAGGCTATGCAAAGAGGAAACCTCAGGACTAGTATGGTATGAATGAACGCTATTTTCTACGGACTCTAATAAAAGTGTATGCATTTTGCACACATAGGGCGATGCGTTGACACAAGGATTCCCCGCGTTAGTTGGTTAGCTATACTTTGCGTATTATTTTCAACACACATTGTACTAATATGTGTTATAATTAATACAATACATCATTCAATACAATTGTGATCAGACGGTGCATTCCAGTACGGGATTAACGACATAGAACTGCCCAAAATCCCGACCCAACCAATTGGGTACGAAGACATGTATGCGATCCTCAAGTATGTCTTTTAGCAAATGTATCATTTGATTGATTACTTCAATTAAATGTCATACCATTGTTCTCATTGTTTCTGATTATTGGGTTCGTTATAATGCTATCAATAGCTTAATGGGTGGCCTACCTGTGCCCAACACCACTGCCTTTCGCGACTGGAATGGAGGGCTTAACATAACATACAGATTGGGTCCGGGCTTTGGCAGTGCTAATGCGGAAAAGTATGTTTTTAATTAAAAATGAATTATTGCGATAATCAGAGCCGGAATGCCAGGCATTAAACGAAATGACATATAATTTGACATATTTTTCTAATTGTTATTTGATTTCTCGACAGAAAATTACGAGTCGTTGTTAATAATGTGATGCAAACAAAGATAATATATAACGTGATCGGAATTCTGGAGGGCTCTGTAGAGGCGGATCGTTATGTTATATTAGGTAATCATAGGGATGCCTGGGGTTTGGGGGCAATGGACGCCTCCAGCGGCACCACTGCTCTGCTGGAAGTGTCGCGCCTTTTCGGTGGCTTTCATAGGGACTCCCAATGGAGGCCCCGACGGACTCTCGTGTTTGCGAGTTGGAGTGGCGAGGAGTTGGGTCTCATTGGGTCCACTGAATGGGTTGAAGAGCACATCCATCTATTGTCTCAAAAGGCCGTCGCATATATCAATGTCGACACTTGTATTATGGGTCCGAACCTCAATCCAGACGCCTCTCCATCTCTAATGGAAATTCTACGCGAAGTCACGGAATATATTCCGTTCAGAAATAATACCCTTTTGAACGCATGGACTGAATATCAGGAATACATTAGCGGGGAATTAGATAAACCCAAGTATTTATTAAATTCTTTTGTTTCATTTGAGAAATGACTCAAAATTATTGAATATGTGTGTAATTTGCAGAATCAAGACCCTGGGCTCGGGCACAGACCACGCCCCCTTTGCATTCTTTGCTGGCATTCCTGCCATCAATATTGAGTTTACATTTGATAAGGTATTATACAATAGATTTAATTTCATACATGCAGTTGTTTATGACTCATTAACTCACAAAAGACAATTCACTCGTCGATCCCATTCCCATCCCATTCCCCCAATTTTACTGAAAGAAAGTAATGTACAGAACATAAAGTCATAACTTATCTAAAACATTGATTTGTTTGCATTTTTTGTATAAAAAAGTCTAAAACAGTTCCCTTTTTTAGTATTCATAATAGGCTATAATAAAATAATGAAATCTTAATTAAGTCCTTTTATCACTGCATTTATCAGATAATCGTTATTGAAAACACATTAATCTTTTGTTTTATGTTTAGTTTTTAAAATGTAATTCTTTTATAATACACATAATATAAAATTTTATCACATAATTAAAGTTAAATTAACAAAATTCTTAAATTATGATTAATAAATAAACTTTTTTTTGCAACAGAAAAAGTATCCCATAAGCGGATCATACCCGGCCTATCATACAGCATACGAAACATTTGATTTGGTGGACAAATTCATTGATCCCGAATTTTCACTACACAAGACGTGTTCACAACTGATCGGAGTATTACTACACGCGATCTCTGGCTCTACTCTAATGCCGTTCAAAATCAATGAATTGGCGAATAGAGTGCAAACAGATTACGAAAACATGTGGAGAAGAGATCGCAATGAGGATCAGTTCGTCTCGAAGAGTGACTTCATTAACGGCGAGTTTAAGCCATTAATAGATATGTTAGAGAAATCGATCGAAAACTTTGTTATAGCGGCCAAAGATTGGGACTCGAAGATGAGAGATTTGGATCTGAATAATCCGTTTTTAGTGAGACAAGTGAATGATGTTATGCTGGCAGTGGAGAGAGCCTTCATTACGCCCGAAGGCCTCCACCAAAGGCCTGAAATCAGGAATCTATTGTACGCTCCATTTAAATACAATAAATATTCGACTGTTGTGTTCCCGGGTATGTTAGACCTCATGAAGACAATCTCAAACACACAAAGAGCTGATACACTGAAAGTGCCGCAATTCAACCAAACATTGCGTCGGCATATCTCAGACATCGCTATAGCGCTCAGAAGTGCCACTAATTTACTCAATACAAGCCCTTTATAGTCAACCACTCTTTCAATTACATTAAACTTACAAATATTTTTTCGTGTAATTCATTGATTTATGTTTACAAACTTTCTTATTCTTATGCACTACTTTCAAGTAAATGAATTGTATTTTTGTATTTATCTAAAAGTCGAAACAATATAGTGATTGTATTTTCTAAATGACATGATTTCAGTTTAAATAAGATTAGAGACATAACTCACAACTAATGAGTGGTTAATCTTGAATTTAATGAAGCGATTCTGTTATGGATGTGAATTTATTTTGAAAACAAAATTGAGACCACATTTATGCCTTATTAGTAGTTTTTGACTACTTATTAGACTAGTTTAGGTCAGACTGGGCTCTAATCAAGATTTTGAACAAACATCTGTAAGAATATGGTTATCATTTGACAACATATTGTACAACAACTACAGTATTGTGGGAAGAGATCACTTGAAAACGAAATCTTGTAATCGTTAGAAATGATTCATAAACTACAATAAAATACTGGCTTTAATCAGATTTTCATGCTTTCGGTGAGCTTTGAATATGATATAAAAAACTGTTTAATTATATGACACGCGTTTGAATGGTACTAATGATGACGTGACCGGATCTGTGTTGGCATAAGAGCTGATGCCCAGGCACTGCCTGTATATCCACACAACTGGTAATCATTTTTAGAGATGTCATTCATTATAAATCAAAATTATTATCGTATTATGATATTAATATCATTATTGTTGATATGATCCCACTTTTATGGTTAGTTGCCAGAAGCGATTCTGTTATGGATGTGAATTTATTTTGAAAACAAAATTGAGACCACATTTATGCCTTATTAGTAGTTTTTGACTACTTATTAGACTAGTTTAGGTCAGACTGGGCTCTAATCAAGATTTTTAACAAACATCTGTAAGAATATGGTTATCATTTGACAACATATTGTACAACAACTACAGTATTGTGGGAAGAGATCACTTGAAAACCAAATCTTGTAATCGTTAGAAATGATTCATAAACTACAATAAAATACTGGCTTTAATCAGATTTTGATGCTTTCGGTGAGCTTTGAATATGATATAAAAAACTGTTTAATTATATGACACGCGTTTGAATGGTACTAATGATGACGTGACCGGATCTGTGTTGGCATAAGAGCTGATGCCCAGGCATTGCCTGTATATCCACACAACTGGTAATCATTTTTAGAGATGTCATTCATTATAAATCAAAATTATTATCGTATTATGATATTAATATCATTATTGTTGATATGATCCCACTTTTATGGTTAGTTGCCATGCCTGTATATCCACACAACTGGTAATCATTTTTAGAGATGTCATTCATTATAAATCAAAATTATTATCGTATTATGATATTAATATCATTATTGTTGATATGATCCCACTTTTATGGTTAGTTGCCAACATACTATTAATAAAAATATTTGCATAAATTTAAAACCATTAGTCGATCCCTCATAACGATAACCATTACGTGAGTGTCGACTATGAGAGCAAAGAGTGAACCAGAATTGCAAGACATGACCGAATCGATAGTAATTAGTAATACATTATGTAATAAACAATTCATAACTTTTCCCCAAACGTTATCCTCCGATGCATTCGTTTCCCAATTAGATGTGAAGTGAAATCATAATAATATTTAAAAAGACGAATAAAAAATATATTTTATATTTGCCTAATAACGAATTAGTAATAAGTATTATACGGTATTGTTTTCATATCAAACGGATAGACTAATTATAGTTTCATTAATCTTTTTAAAAGCACAGTTACGTCTAAATGTCGGGGCTTTAGAGAAATGCCAATAAAACACGTGAAATACGTTATTCCGGCTGAATTCGGTTGAAACTCAATATTGAGTTTTTAAAACTTTTTTATAGGCTTTCATTTTTGTGAAATAAAACAAAACAATATATAAAACGCGAATATCTTTCCCCACGGATTGAAGAGTAGAGTTTGGAGTTATAGTAGAGACAAATGCCACCAAAGAGGAGCAGTTGGGGGTATCGACGCTTCTATTAAACTGAAAGCCTGTAAATGATGCCAAAGGGAGTCATTTAAATTTAAAGAAATTATAAGGGGTAGTACACAAAGTGCATATTCATTGAGATGGACAGAGGGGTCCACTATAACGCGTTTAAATTCTTTAAACTTTTATACCTGATTATGGTAGTGGTGGTGCATGTTGGTGTAGTACGTACGTTGTGCAGGGTCCGTTACTAATTTTATATCATTTATTTGGAATTAGTTTGGGATTGAAAATTGAAAATTAGACCCGATTTAAGTATAGTTTTACTTTAATTCATATAAGTTTTTAATATGAGAAAAGTTTTTTACTGCTAACAACAAAATGCTATGTAGTTTGTCTCTATTAAAATTAGTTCTCATATACCATACAGTTATATAACAATTGAATAAATAGTGAAATAATAGTGTATTGAATTTGACTACGAGTTAGGGGTAATAGTAATACAATACAAATATTATGAAATATCGGCGCTATTCTGAGGCAAGTCTTGACTGACGTATGCATAACGCCTATGAATTGGTATGAATTGGATTGGATTCACAACAAAATATGAAGTGAAGTATATTTGGCTTTTCATACAATGCTATTACAGACTCTTGTCAGTTGTCAATACCGAAACTTTTTGATGTTATGGGAAAAAATTGTTCACTTTTTTGTTACACATCGCAAGCAATAGAAGAGTGGAATTGGAGTTGTTTTTTATATAAACCAATAACTGAGTCAATATATAATATAAGTATTTGTAATATAAGTTATTGCATACAAGTTATTATATATCGGGCGACAAGTCATTGGAGCGGTTCAGGCATTACAAGCATTACAGGCCTCACAAGCCGTACGCGTATTGTGTTCTGTTATTAACCACAATAGAAATGAAAGCAAATACTAATATATGGCTACCAGTGCTCACCAACCAGTCAATGAGTTCTGTTTGTAACGACTATTGCCTTAAATGACATCAACAGTTGGTCTCATTGTCGCCATTTATTTCCAAAGACATGAGACAAACACAGAGAATTAGCTTTGAAAGCAAAGGGATCCTAAGTTTGGTAGCACTGGTAGTGTATGCCTGTATGCCTGTCCTGTTGCTCTATTGCACACCCGTCGCGCACATTACACACAAAATCAACTAAACTCTGCTAACATTACCGGCAACTGCTTCTCCCAGTACTCAACCACTGATCCCTTTCCCTCATTCATGCACTGAGAAGGAGTAAAAAAGTGGAAAAGTCGTGTATTTTTGGGTTAATTTGTGAAATAGTGTGAAAAAATGTTTGATACGAATGAGTCAATGGATGTAATCTGAGAATTGGATGCAATTTATTGGAGTGAATTAGTTGCGATAGGTTTGATAAGTTTTGGGTGGCTTTTAGCAGCTTTTTAGGGTAGCACTGGTAGGACTGGTAGGTCTCACGCCACGAGCAAATCACAACTGTTAAGATTGGAAGACAAGAGTTCAGTAGTTGTTTAGGAAAGCGTGAAATTCCCCGATGAGAGGGTTGTCTGGCTTTCAAAAGCTTTCAAATTTTGCATGAATTCAATGACAAAGTCTGTCATACTTTTTTATTCAATGAGATTTGTGACGCAAAAATGACCAAAATTTTACATTTACTAAATTTGCAAAACACATAACACATAACCCATTCCCCTGAGAGAGTGAGGCTGCCTTTCCTCTCTGATTCTTCACCCTTACATCGCCGGCACTTTTGGTGCAAAACATTTAAATTTATTATAAACGACTCAATAAAATAAATTTCTTTCAATATTGTGAAAGTCATTCAGCGGTCGATTGGAAACAACAAAATGTAATGCATTTTCCCTAATATTATTAAATGGATAACTGGTTATTGCCTTTTGGCACAAGTTTTCGTTTCAATTACCGGATGTGTTGTTAGATTTAAAAAATTCAGCGGTCGATTGGAAACAACAAAATGTAATGCATTTTCCCTAATATTATTAAATGGATAACTGGTTATTGCCTTTTGGCACAAGTTTTCGTTTCAATTACCGGATGTGTTGTTAGATTTAAAATCCTAATATTGGAGTATATTTTTGGTGGCATATCGTAGCCATCACTGAACAGGTTATAAAAGTGTGGTATGAGTTGAATCTCCCACTGCTTTCACCCGCTTTTACTGCCTTCTCATCAGAGATACGAAATTAATTGGAAAACCGGCTCTTTTTAAACTACTTGTCATTTATTTAATGTCATTATAACTGCCATTATATGCAATTCAATGATTCATTTAAATGAGTTTTTTGAGTACCCGAACCCATTTGAAGATAAGTCGAGTATTGGCCCACATTATAGCCTAAAGTAAAAAGAGTTACAATTTTTATTGGATCCGTTCCACTCTTCCACTGGAGTTGAGTTGGTTTTTGGAGATAAAGTATTTGCACTTATTTTGCATAAACCGTAATAGTGTTAAAAGACTGACAAATGGCCAAAACGTCGCTTTAGAGATATATTTGAGGGATTTTAAAGTGATATACCATGAGATAAGTTGTCCAATAAATCAGACATACAGTACATACAGTCACTACAAATCTAATATACGTTAAAGTGTGCACAGAATGGCCCGCATTTAGACACCAATATTTCGATGACTGCATCAAGTTTTGCATAAATTTTTAAAAAATGTTTTGCGGAGATGTAATATATATCTATTTATGACATACCGTACTCTTACGGCACATACAGTGCACACGAAGCTAGCAATGCCTGGTATGTGCGGCAATCCATCTTCGTGTGGGCACATCCAGCATCCAGTGATCAACAGTACAGTAGAGACTGAAAAAGGAGAGACGACTGGAGTGTAGTGTTTGGTTGTGTTGGATGTGTTGGATGTGTTGAGCGAGCATTTCATTAAAATGCAAACTAAACTTATATGTATTGAGCGCTCACTTACATCCCATTGTCCTCACATACAGTCAAATGCTTTAGACATCGATTTTGCAATTTATATCACACTTCCGATAAAGCGCTCAAAACTTACTCACTTCTCATTATAAATTCCGTTTGAGAATTACATTTTACTCGA